TGAAAATATTTGCACTTATTTATGACCCACTCTGTATATTTTATATTGCGATAGTTAATTTCTGAACGCTGTGAATGCAACGTATACTGCTTCTTAAGTTCTCTTAAGAAGCTTCTTAAGTTCTCTTCTTCTTCTTAAGTTAGCTTTCTTAAAGTTCTTTCTCGAAAACGTTGCTTGTTCTTAGACTATAATTAAAATAAAATTTTGTAATAGGTATAAATGTCAATGTCAAAGATAAATATTAATACTTACTAACATTGAAAATAGATAAAATTAGTCTGAATCTTTTTAAACTTATATTTATTTCTAATGGTACTTATCGTACATTTATTATTATCGCATATTTCAATGACATGCCAAAAGTTTTCCGTAATTGTTTTATGTAAAAATGTATACTCTTGGCAAAAAAAACTGTTTAATACGTTGTTCTTTGAAATTATATACAGGGTGAGTCTTAAATAACTGCAAATATTTTCAGGGTTGGTAGACCTCGATAAAAAATAGTTATTGTTTTATTAGGAGTAAAAATGACAATTTTCGTGGTGAAGCTGTACGAGCTCTTTGACATAGAGTCGAGGCACAAAATGTCATTTTTACTCCGAATAGAACACGCTATTTTTTTTCAAACGTCACAAATAAGTTTTTAAACAATTTCAAACGTTCCAAATAATATAAAAAGATTTAAAAGTCATACCTTGTATGTAATTATATATCGAGAAACTATGGTATACCTTGTACAACTTTTCGTGACAATTTTAAATTGAATAATAATATCCAAACAAAAAACATATTTAAATTTGTTTTATCATACAATGTCTACCAACTATGCATATACAGGGTAAATTGTGATTTAGGTAGCTGTTTTCTAATTTAAAAAAAATCACTACATTTTTCGAAAATGCTTTTTATTTTTTGACATAAGTAATAATAATAAAAATATTTTAAAATAATGTAAAATTTTATATTTTTGACATCAATTTTTTCAGTAAAACTGACATTAACTATATGTATATACTTTCTAGAATCCGAGAACGAATTAATAACATATACCGGGTGCGTCTCAAAAGTGACTCACCCCTATAATAACTTTTTTATTTTTTCAGATAAAAAAACGAGATTTGGTATGTTAGTGTATGACTTAAATAAGGATTGATTGACGTATTCAATTGTTTTTGGTCACTTCCTGTTTTACCGGAAATGACTACAACTTTTGATTTTTAAATGGCACCCTCGGTATTTTTTTACTTTATTCGATAGAAAATTAAATTCTGAATAGAATGACATATCATATGTCAACTTTTGACATTTTCGCTTAATAAAAAATCGTATTTTAAATTTCAATCTAGAGTGCCATGGCTATGTTAAAAACACTAACTCTTAATCAAGGAGCCTTGGAAAAATAGATTTGATCCTATAATATTTCTAGTGTCTTCTCCTGGCCGGTTACAAGATACCTAAATCGTATTTTTAATCATATCTCAATTTTTTCAAATGAAACGAGGGTGGCTCATTAGCATGTTTGGAAAAAGCATTTTTTTCTGAATAATTTGATACCACACACTTGGTATTTCGAGTCAAATTGTCGTTATGAACCACATGTTAAAATTGCAAAAAAAAAAAAATATGCGAGAATGTCAACAGTAGACTTATGATATGTCATTCTATTCAGAGTGTTATTTTCTATCGAATAGAGTAAAAAATACCGAGGGTGCTATTTAAAAATCAAAAGTTGTAGTCATTTCCGATGGAACAGGAAGTGACCGAGAACAATTGAATACGTCAATCAATCCTAATTTATGTCATATACTAACATACCAAATCTCGTTTTTTTATCTGAAAAAATAAAAAAGTTATAGGGGTGAGCCACTTTTGAGACGCATCCGGTATAGGGTATGCCATAAAAAATAAAATTTTGATATATAACTTTTTTGGGACACCCTACAGAGTGCCAAGTAATTTTAAAGTGTCGCATGTCGTCTCAGTATACAGGGTTTATAGTTATAGTTTATATAGGGTTTTCAATTTTCGGGATCGGGATCCCGGGATTGGACTCTCAGAATGAGAATTTTAATTTAAGAAATAGGTACTTAATAAAAATGCAGTTACATAATGTCAAAAAGAAATCATGAGAAAAGACCTTTAAAAAATAGACAAAACAAAGTAACATTCATATTTATCAATTCTTGCTTGAAAAACCAAATAAAATATAGCAAACACAGAAATATAACTTTTATATAGATATTGACGTTCTGCTTAGTCTTAGTATAAATAAAATATGATCTTTGAAAGACTAAAGTGTATAAAGTCGAATCATTTTAGATTAAGCATTAGAGTTTTTTGAAATTTTAAGGATCCCGGGATTTAATATCGGGATTTCAGGATTAATCACCGGGATCCCGGTTTGGAAACCCTAATACCTACATAATATGGGGCTTAAGTCGGCTGGCTGTGTAATAAATAGGTTGTAATTAGACCAACACGAAAAGAGAGTTTTTTTTGTTTTTAAGTTGGTTTAATTGCTTTGGCCAAAAATAAAATCTGACTGGAATAGATTAGTTTCTTCACCATTTGTGTTAATTTATTTCTTTATAATAATTATTTAAAATATATTTTCTAAGAATCAGATGACTGTTCGAATGATAAGGGTATCAATAAAAATGTGCTGTAACGACGTGGTACTACTTGAGCGGACAACTATTTTGACCTTACCTAGTTTTGAGGTCATATGCTGATACTAAAAGTTAGATAGTATTGAGTGTACAGATCAAAAGAATTATTCTAGTATGGGAATTGGTATTTCACTCCACATAATGTATCTTTATTATTTATCGATGAATATGATAGCGTCAGAAAGACAATAATTAATTTTGTGTTTATTTTTTCTAAAATCTTTTTTCTTATTCTAAAAGATATGCGGAAATGAGGTACATTGTGTTGAGGTACATCGTTGAAAAATTTGATGAATTCTTTTTACACTCTTGTAGCAACATTTTAAATCTTACGAATAGTTTTCGATATATACAGGGTGATTCATAGCTAACTTGAAAATTTGGATTTTTACATAAGACACCTGCTGCATCTACCTAAATTATTTTCATCGTTACATCGATCGTTTCGAAGTTGCTTGAAAAAATAGTTGTACCTTTGATGTTTTAGATGGAACACCCGGTATATTTGTGGAAACTACTTTGATTCCTTATAATTTTTGTGTTATACAATTTTATACCTATGTTTCTTTGAATGTGGTAGAAAATTATTCAGAATTTCGAACTTCCATTGCCTCTATTTTTTTCTTACATAATGTTCGGTCATTTATCACTGACCATGACTGACTGACCTGACGACAGGGAGAGGCGATATCCCCAAAGTTGTTTACAGCAACATTAGAAGAAATCTTCCGTCAGTTGGACTGGACCAATAAAGGATTAAAAATAGATGGAGAATAATTATAATTAATTTTTAAGTATATACATGGTTTTTATCAAGAAATCCGATTTCATAGATCAATTCCGGTGAACTTCAGTCCGGTACTGAAACTCAACCTGAGGTCCAATGTTCAAGTACAATATCGTTTACGGAATTATTAATTAATTATTTGACCTTTTTTTGCACACACGTTAAACATTATATTATATAACAAAATAGATATAATCATTAGGTATTTTGTATCGTTATAATTGTACTTTAGCTCCTTTAAGTTATTCCTTGTTTATACAGGGTGGTCCATCGAAAACGTTCCACAAGGCTTAACGGCCAGGGTAATTTTTTTTTCAGAAAATTCAAAAACACGTCAATTTTGTTTGTGAGGCGGACAACTTTTGCCCCAAAAATGATTGCAAAATCTTCAACCCTCTAAGCGGGGGTGTCATCCCCCAACTTTTTTCAAATGGGAAGGGGGGTCAAGTGGTACCGCAATGAAAAGGGCTTTTTATTCTCTATACTTTCCCGCTTCGTTTTTGAAAATCGGTCGAGTCATTGAGAAAATATGGAGGATTGAAATTTGAAAAGTTTATTTAAACATTTATCAGAGTAAATGATAAGGATAAATTCCTTCGACCAATTTGCTGTTTTTTCTTATTATTTCTAGATGTTTACGCATTTTTTCACTTACCACATGGTTGAACGATCAGGTGCGGCAGTTGCTAGATAGCTGTTCTGTGACTTGTGCTGGGATTGCCGCTGGTATGATAGTTTTAAGTTGCGCTAAACTGTAGCAACAGAAGCAAAAGAAAAAGAAGACGTAACAGGATTTTATTTCTAGTTACTCTTATGAATCTGTCTATAGCATCATAAGCAAACCAAGATGGTTAGTATATATCTGCACTCCCAGATCCACAAACAACAAACATCTATCACACAAACATTTACAAACTATCTATTTTTATTCCCCATATAATTTTACATATAAAGTGACACAGATGTTCACTTCATAGCCATCGCTAACGTCGTTTTTTTTCGATCATATTGTACCTACATGAATAATATATAAATAACATTAAACTTTGTTTTATTCAAAGATGGTGAATAACATCGATTGTGATTTCCGAGCAAGGTTGGCGCCGTTTTTTTGACCATACAATATAATATAAATATTGCCTTGTGCACGATGAAAATAAGTGAAAAGTTGAATCCGAAATGGTCCAAATCTGAAAAATATTCTGCAATAATAACAGACACCGTGAAAGCTTACACGTTCGTATGTGATGTTAGCGAGGATTGTGTATTTAATCAAAAATTCCATTGAATGTACGACCAGTGACTAGTGAGACAAAGAGACGACGCCGTTGAAAATCACCAGTTAGAATTGAGTCATGCATAAACAAATGTTGTGCTTGTACTATCGAACTGGTATTTAAGGCCACGTATATTTATGAATATTTTATGTCTTAAAAATGGTATTATTACTTTTTCTAAGAAATATGATGATTACTTCGTTATCCGAAAAATAATTCGTAGCTTTTTGCTAAAAACAAACCAAAGGTTCAATATCCAAGTACAATAATGTTCCGAGTTTATTAGGAAATCTGTCAGCCATTCTTTATCGCGTGTAATATGAAAAATTTATATAATACAGCAGATCATTAATATTTCGCATCATTCGTTCGCGGTGCGTACTTGAACGATTAGGTACTTCCTGACGTTTTGTTTTTTTTCTCTAAGTGAGTGATTATTTTTAACTAAAGAAAAAAAAACTTTATTCAAATAGACATTTTGTGTAAATCGACTTCAACTAATTAGCACAATTACTGTCGATTAGGTGCTTTTCAACGTACCTACCTATCTTTTTGTTTCTAGCTCGCCAATTTGCTTTGACGAAGTAAACGTTTTGAGTAGCGCAGTTAGCAAGACGACGCCATGCCGCCAAGACCACGCGAAAAACAGCCCCTGGAGACCCTCGAGGCCACGGGGGTGTTGTTCGAGAGTGACGATGTGAGTTCGGAAAAATTTGCTCAGGAGGAAAAAGTAGAACCCCGCACCTACGAAATCGTCTGGTTCAACGTGACGCTCTTCGTGATTCTGCATTGTGTGGCGTTGTACGGGGTGTATCTGTCATTTACCAGTGCCAAATTGGCTACAACCATCTATGGTAAGTGTTTACATAGGTTAATTTTCTACATAGACAGAGATGTGTATTCTAAATGTTGTTTTTACATTATTTACATTTATTATGCTTATTTATTTTTTGTTTGAAACTTTTTAGCGGCGTTTCCAGTGGCGGCTCGTGAGTTCTAAACGGGGTTGTCATGTTTTAATCATTTTGTTTGTAAGGAGTGCTTAAAACACCATTAGTTGTTTTAAACTTTTATAAATATTTGTGGGGGTGATATGGGGGTATATTTTTTAGATAACGGGTTTAGATATACAAGAGCCCATGTACTCTTTAGAACTAGCCATTGCTTAAACCTATTATTTTGTGCTATAACTCAAATGAGTACCAATACACAGTATCGCAAATAGACAGACTTTTAGGGGGGCTGAAGTCTTGGGGGGGGGGGGCGTAGTAGGTCACTTAAGATAATATTGATTTAAGATTAAAACCAATTTTATACGACTCGCAGTCATCTTGTTGTGTCACTGGTGTCACAGATCATTATAAAAATTATATACATATTTGCAAATGTATACCGGGTGCGTCTCAAAAGTGGCTGACCCCTATAACTTTTTTATTTTTTCAGTTAAAAAAACGAGATTTGGCATGTTAGTATATGACATAAATTAGAATTGAATGACGTATTAAATTGTTTTCGGTCACCGGAATACAGCTTCTGATTTTTAAATGACACGCTCCATGTTTTTTTTACTTTATTCGATAGAAAATAACACTCTGAATAGAATGATATATCATATGTCAACTTTTGACATTTTTGCATATGGCTTGTCTGATAACTTGCTGTTCGTAATGAAAATTTGACTCGAAATAGCAAGTGTGGGGTATTAAATTGTTCATAAAAAAATGCCTTTTCCAAGTATGCTACTGATGAGCCACTCCCGTTCCATTTGAAAAAAAAAATTGAGATATGATTAAAAATACGATTTAAGTATTTTTTAACCAGCCAGGACAAGACACTAAAAACATTAGACAATCAAATTTATTTTTCTAAGGCTTCTTGATTAAGAATTAGTGTTTTTAACATAGCCATGGCACTCTAGATTGAAATTTAAAATACGATTTTTTATTAAGCGAGAATGTCAAAAATTGACATATGATATGTCATTCTATTAAGGTAAAAATAGTAAATACCGAGTGTGCCATTTAAAAATCAAAAGTTGTAGTTATTTCCGGTGAAACAGGAAGTGACCAAAAACAATTGAATACGTCAATCAATCCTACTTTATGTTATATACTAACATACCAAATCTCGTTTTTTTATCTGACAAAATAAAAGTTATAGAGGTGAGCCCATAGACTTAAAATAAAATATAGACTACACTATTTACATCTGAACGCGGTCAAACAATCATTTTTGTACACATGTTTACTTCTGGGTACACTCGACCGCAGCCGACCAAACCTTTCTCGTCCAGCCTATGTTGTCACGTCTATAATTTTATCCATATTTTTTACTTATTATACACATATATTGAGATATTAATACTGCATTTTAATAAAGTATGTTTTAATATTCCATAGATGTATTAAATAGTGCTTATACTACTTAATTATAAGTCGAATACTACGTAAAAAGGATAAATCCTTTACAATATGGCAACACCGATTAGAGGCGAGGTCGCCTGTTCATTCTTCTATAACTTGTATTACGCGTCGCACGTGTGTAGTAAAGCATTGTTGCCGCTACTTCTCTCTGGTTGTATTAATGCATTTTCTTAGTTTGTAGTCCTTAAATGTTTATTTTATTTACTTTTTGTATTCAAGAACTATAAAATATGGTTCGCCAGTGCCAAATTCGCAATAAATTTGACTTAAATAATCCATTTGAGTCTCGGAACGACTTTCGACCGGTAGGCAACTCTCAATTTACCAATTGGGAGTCAGTGGCGTTGTTGTAGAAAGGCGCTTATTTATATAATATTTTAGTAAAATGTAAAATCTGAATTTTTTCTATTACATAATCATTTATATAAAAGTTTGTAACAAAATCATAATTATAACCCTCTTATTATACAAGATAAATTATATTAGGCATCTGTTAAAAATTAATCATGTTTTTATTAAAAATATATTCCGATTTATTCTAAAACTATCTTCAGAAACTAAAATAACATACAAGAATTTTAAAATGATATTACATTATGAAACAATATTTTTTAATATACCGGGTGCATCTCAAAAGTGGCTCACCCCTATGACTTTTTTATTTTTTCAGATAAAAAAACAGATTTGTATGTTAGTATATGACATAAATTAGGATGGATTGACGTATTCAATTGATTTTGGTCTTTTCCTGTTTCGCCGGAAGTGACTACAACTTTTAATTTTTAAATGGCACCCTCGGTATATTGCTACTTTATTCGATATAAAATGACACTCTGATTAGAATGACATATATCATATGTCAACTATTGACATTGTCGCTTAAAAACAAATCGTATTTTAAATTTCAATCCAGGGTGCCATGGCGGTGTTAAAAACACTAATTGTAAACAACTAATCTAACACGAAATTGTCGTTATGAACCGCGTGTTACAATTTCAATTAAACCATATGAGAAAATGTCAAAAGTTGACATATGATATGTCATTCTATTCCGAGTGTCATTTCCTATCGAATAAAGTAAATATATACCTAGGGTACCATTTAAACATCAGAAGTTATAGTAGAATTTTTTTAGAATTTAGAATGAGTGGGAGGGGGGTTAATCACTTCGACCTTACAGATCCATTGTGTCCCCCTTTCTTGAATCATAACTCATCATACAGTCCCAGGGCTTTGACAAAAGCCAGTATCTGGGACGGTTTTATAGAGGGTAGTTCTCCATCTCCAATATCAGTCGTACCAAAATTCATGGCACGAATGGTTGTCGTCTCGGCGCACTCAGTGATGAGGTGTATTGGTGTTTCACTATCTTCCCCACAGAATCTGCATTCGCCGTTTCTTCTTAGTTTCAATCTACTGAGGTGTTCATTGAGGAGACAGTGCCCTGTTAAAAACCCCGTGACAATCCGAAGATTGTTCTTACTCAGACCCAGGAAGATCTGTGATTTTTCTTGATCATAAGCCCTCAGAAACTTCTTCGAGTGTCTTAGACCATTGCAAGATTTCCATTCCAGGTTGCGGATGGAATCTTCCAAGTCCTTGAGTTCCGCCTTGAGTTGGTTACCACTTGGAAAGCAGAACGGTTCTGGTCCAGTTAGTGGAGTGTTCGCTCCTTTCCTAGCTAGATTATTTGCTTTTTCATTGCCTTCTATCCCTTGGTGAGCAGGCACCCAGTGTAGGAGGACTTTGTTTTCTTTGCCTAATTTATTCAGCTTCTCTATGCATTCTTTGACCAATTTCGAATAGATTGATACTGAGTTGATCGCCTTTAACGCTGCTTGACTATTAGATAAGATGGCTATTTCTTGTTTCCGATAGTTCCTATCTAAGATAAGTTGTACGCATCTCTCGATAGCGAAGTTATAGTAACTTCCGGTGAAACAGGAAGTGACCAAAAACAATTGAAATGCGTCAATCAATCCTAATTTAGGTCATATACTAACATACCAAATCTTGTTTTTTTTATTTGAAAAAATAAAAAAATTATGGGGGTGAGCCACTTTTGGGACACAGCCGGTATAATAAAGACAGTAGCGACTTAAATAAATGTAGTCTTCACTTTATAAACTTCCTAAAAGCTTGCTTTTTTCTGTTTTCTCTAATTTACATAATAAGACATCACTTACCAGAAAATAAAATTACAACAATCATGAAGTTTTTTCTCTTTCCATGTCGCCGATTCTATTATATCTATAGAATATTTGTTATGCTATATTTGTTGTTATTGAACTGTTTTTATTTTTAAATAATGTTTGACTAAAATTAATAATTTATTATTAATTTCAAAAATTAAATACGTAATTTCGATTATTAAATTTTTTTCTATAACATGTATTTTATTATTTTTATCGTTTTTGGACGTTTTTTTCTAAACTTTTATTTAAAAAACCTCTCCTAAATCTTAATAAAATATAAAAAAGTTAAATACGATATATTTTTAATTAAATTATAGCTTCATTAAAATAAAAAAATTACCCGGCTATGGTACGGAGAGTTCAGGTGTACTGAGAAACGAAAGACAGTGTTGCATTCTTCGTCAGAGTCGTCAGGGAACGACCGTTACGACGGAGACAACCTATCTATCGCTCGTGTCGCACTCGTTAGAGCCTAAAACAATAACACAACAATAACAAGACATTGTCTGACCGCATCCTTCAGCTATTTATGAATGAGATGCTCAGTCTATATTTTATTTTAAGTCTATGGGTGAGCAACTTTTGAGACGCACCCGATATAAATATATTGTATTATTTTTATTATAGCAATTATTCTGTATATTTTATAATTTTTATATTTTATTATTATTATAATTTATAGCGATTATTTTTTATAGCAATTATCCTCTACCAAATGGGCGCTTTTGGTATAACTGCCGGAGCTCATAGACTGTGGTCCCATAAAGCGTACAAAGCAAAATGGCCCTTGAAACTCATTTTAGTATTATGCCAAACTCTAGCTCACCAAGTAAGTTTAGTTTGATGATTTAAGCGGTTTAAGTTAGCGGTTTAAGTTAACAGAATTAATTAATATGCCTTTTATTGTAAGGATCTTGTAAAGAAGAGAAGGATATGTTTATATGAGTTAACCTTGTTATGATATATTATGACATAGCTTTATCCACGAAATTTATAGGATCTAAGGTCGTGTCTAGTCTTTATAAATATGCAGAGGTTGACATACAATACGATCGAAAAAAAAACGGCGTCAAAGACGGCCGAGGAATGACAATCGATGGTAATTTCGAGGAGGTCAAACTCTGGACGTCATTTACTTTATCCGTTTGTTTTAAATAGATTTGTGTGTCTGGAAACATTCTCCATCCTTTTTAATCTTTCCATAATTAGTGTTAATTTTCGACGTCTAGAGACGCATTCCCAAACTTTTCATCCTTGCATTTCATTCTCCAGCTGTCTTTGACACCGTTTTTTTTTCGATTATATGGTATTACCCTTTGAATAAGAAGACTAAGGAAGGAGCATCAAAAATCTTAGGTACACCGCGATGGGCCTCAAATATGGCCGACTTAAATTCCGGTTTATCAGTGTCGTTCTAATTTTATTTAAAAAAATGTAAAACTATGATGTAGGGTAGACGTGGGGTAGACTCAATAATTTGTTGTTTTATTTTACGTTGTGAATAAATGTTGGTAGTTATTAAAATTGTTATAAAAATATATAATTCTAATAAAAATAGATAAGTTATAATAAGTATTTATTAACACAAACATCCGATACGCTACTGAAGCAGGTAAGTCAAATTAACGTATCTAAATTCTTTGACATCTAATCTTTGACAAGTAATAAATAAAAGCTAAAATGCAAGAAAAATATATAATTTAGTTAATTTAAGTGAATTTCATAAATGATCGGTTTACTACACGTATGTATATTATTGTATAGTCACTTACTAGCGAAAAGTTGTTCCATTATTTCACGCAATTTTTGCCGAGATCTACCTCACGCTACACAACCAACTATTTTAGAGTCTTTTTCGATAAATCGCGATAGTGTCACTGTTAATTTAAGTGCTGCCACAATTTCCATCTAGATTTACTACCTTTATACAACTATCAGTAGTAGAATAAATAATAAATAACATAAAATAAGCTCCGTAAAGACTGACAAATCCACAAAATTTCAAATCAAATTCAAATGTGTCAAATGAATCGTCAAACAGAACTGTCAAGGATCCCCACCCTAGAGAGCTTTTATGGTGTCTTTTCCATGGATACATGGATAGCATTATTCTCCTTCCTTAGTCTTCTTATTCAAAGGTATTACCAATATTTTTCTAAATTTCAGTGCCCCCGTATTTCTGACGATAGATTTTTTTCTTCCTGTGCATTTATTTGTTAATAGCATTTGTTAGTGCAAAGTCCACCTAATGTATTTATGTTCAGTACTGTGGACAATCTGTGAGTCATTACCGTGGCAGGGGAATTTTAAGTTCTATTCTCGATTTAATAGTTGTGTTGTCTTGTACTTTTATAGCAACAAAAAAAGTTTTTTTAATGAATTTCTAATCAAAAAAATGTAACAGGTACAACAGAATCATTTTAATATATTACCATACTTTTATTTACACAATAACGTCATTTAAATAAATTTCAAAGGCGACGTATTTTTTTAAAAAGTTACATGAACTTGCATATAATGTATAGTTTTTAGCGTTATGTATATTTATGTTATATACGTAATTCAGCGCAAGTTATTGTTTTTAGACAAAAATATTAAAAAATCTTTGATCCCGCATCATTTACAAAATTATATTTATGCTTATTCAGAAATATGAAAATCTGAAATTAATTTGCTGCATGAATTAATTCATAGTCAGTTAAAAAAGAATAGTGATGATGCGTTATTTTCACATACATTTTAATATTAATAGCTGCATAGAAAAGTAATGTTATATTTTGTTATTCACATTTCACATTATACAGGCTGTCCGAATTGTATTCGGGAAACTTCGGCAGCATATTCTATAGATAAAAATATGTAAAAAAGTTCGTATAAATATATGTCCTAAAATGCTTAGTTTCGGAGATACAGGGTGAAGAAGTTTCATTTTTATTTCGATTTTTTTCAGATAATTTCTGAACTAATCAGTTCCCCGAATACAATTTCGACCACTCTGTATATTAATTTGATAAAGACTAGCTCAGGAAATAACTTACCTATGTATCTATTTTTGTGTCTTTTTTACATACACATATTAGAATACCGGGTGCGTCTCAAAAGTGGCTCACCCCTATAACTTTTTTATTTTTTCAGTTAAATCAGTTCCTGTTTCACTGTTTAAATGACACCCTCGGTATTTGTTTACTTTATTCGATAGAAAATAACACTCTGAACAGAATGACATATCATTTGTCAACTTTTTACATTTTCGCATCTGGTTTTTTTGAAATTATAACTTCCGGTTCATAACGAAAATTTGACTCGAAATACCAAGTGTGTCGTATCAAACTATTCGTAAAAAAATGCCATGGCACTCTAGATTGAAATTTAAAATACGATTTTTTATTAAGCCAAAATGTCAGAAGTTGGCATATGATATGTCATTCTATTCAGAATGTCATTTTCTATCGAATAAAGTTTTTTTTTTATAAAATAACGTTATCTGAAAAAATAAAAATTATAGGGGTGAGCCAAACAAATGAAACAGGAAGATCAATCTTGCATAAGTCTATACTTTTGGTTCAACACGATTTTATGCGCACGCCCCAAATAAAACGATCTGATTCGTCTATTTCATCGCTGAACACTGTTACCTGACCAACCAACTCTTTTTAGTAATGCCAATATTTCAACCTGTTATTTTAGATATTCTTGAAATATAGATATATCTATCCGTTTCTAGTTTTTGTTTAAATATATCACAGATTAAATTTAAATTTATAAATAAAGGCGCGAACAGTCAGACGCTAAATTGATTTACGTAGTATAAGATAGAAACTCAGAAAACTACTTGTATTGGTTAGTATGAAAATAGTCAACTAATCGCTAAGCACTTCCCAGGCTTGCGTAGTTCAAAGCTGTTGAACCAAAAGGACCGACTTATGTCGATTTTGTATAGCTCCATCTCAAAAATTTGGTTTCAATTTCTGTTCCTGACTAGCGATTTATTCTTATATAACGAGAGCATTATTATTAACGATTTATTCTTATGTACGAGAGCTAGCAACGTCGGAAAAACAAGTATTTTAAGACGTCTGGCTCTTTGATATATCTTTTACTATGCTTTACCGAGGATTCATTTATTTTTTTTGAATCACCAGAATTTTTTAATACTTTACTATCAGAATATAAACGAAAATAAAATAAAAAAGCCTTTCCCTAACCCGGATTCGAACTCCGAATCCTCGATTCGTAGTCGGAAACTCTACGCACTGCGCTATGGAGACATGTTCGATTTATATTCACTGCTAGAATTTATAGGACTAAATTTAAAAAAAATATAGGATCTTTTTCCGATCTGCAGTAGTGAACGCAACGGGTATCGGCAGCCAGACGGGCCGCATACTGTTCCAGAGAGCATAGTAAAAATATATCAAAGAGCCAGACGTCTTAAAATACTTTGCTACCTCTTAGACTATAATATATATATATGTTTTTTTAGAACTCCGTTATAGAATGGAGCAGAGACCATCGTGTCCACCACAAATACCAAGAGACTGATGCCGATCCTCATAATGCTAAAAGGGGTTTCTTCTTCTCACACATGGGCTGGCTCATGTGCAAGAAGCATGACGATGTTAAAGACAAAGGAAAAGGAATTGACATGTCCGACCTTTTCGCTGAACCTATACTAAGGTATTACAAAGATTACTTAAATATTTCTTTTATTCAACTTTGATACTTTTCAACAATAATATGGTGACTTTGCGAGTTATATTTATATATTTTATTTCTAGATTACAGCACAAATACTTCTACTATCTGATGCCAATCGGTTGCTTCCTTCTACCAACATTGTGGCCCATTGTTCTCTGGGGTGAAACACTTGGCAACGCCTACTGTCTTAACATAACCCGTTACGTCATAACACTGCACGCCACCTGGTTAGTCAATTCGGCAGCTCACATGTGGGGATCCAAACCGTATGACAAGTAAGTTTCATTTAATATTTATACAGGGTGGTCTATATATACTATACAGGACTCTATTCCGGAAACTTCGGCAGCATATTCTGCACATAAATATAAGTAAAAAAAGTTCGTATATATTTATGTTCGAAAGTGCTTAGTTTCGGAGATACAGAGTGTAGAAGTTTCATTTTTATTTCTATTTTTTTCAAATAATTTCTGAAGTAAAGTCAATATTTGGATGAAAATTGATGTCTTGAGAAATTTGATTTTTATGTCAATATGACTCCTGTTTGTAGGGGGCGCCATCTACATGTGTTTTAACATGGTTTTAACTGTTTTGAAATTTAATAACTTTACGTCCGTACCTGTATAAAACTACTGAGTGGAAAAATATACCTTTCCGTGATTTTTTGCGTAAAAAATGTCTCTTGGTAAAACGCACCACGAACAACCGTTCTCAAGATATTTAGAATGGAAATAATCAATACATGTCATTATTGACAAAAAATAAACATGTTATTTGGGAACTTTTTATTTTTTTAAATTGATCATATTTTATTTCAAAAAAATGATAAAACAATTTCTCTTGAACTTTTGGCATAAAAATATTTCAAACTTTTGATTTCAGTCTAACAATTTAGTGAACATGTTTAATTTATGTCAATGATGACAGGTATAGTCCAAAAAATGAATAACTTTGAATTTTGACCGTTATTTTTTACCAAGAGGGCAAATATAAAATCCCTCTATCAAAAAAGTCACTGATATTCTTTAAATTGAGTGCCTGAATGAATCAGATAGGTAACTCTTTTTACTTTCGTGAAATAGAAAAGGAAAATAATAAAACAAGTGACAGTTCTTCCTCTTTTTGCAAAAATCAACACGAAATGTCATAATTGACAAAAGTAAAATGTCATCAGCTTTTGACATTTCAAAATATTAGACCAATGCCGTCTCTAATAGAACAGCCTCGGAGCAAGATTTATGACGTCACGCTAGTTAGATACTACGGATTAATAAATATGTTGGAGAATACATGGACACATAATTATTTCTCGTATTTTTGGTTTGTATTTTTAAAATGATATAGTTTACTTAAAATATACATAATATACAGTTAATAAATACAATATAATATATACATATTTATAGTAATAAATACTTTGGCAAATAAACTATGAACCACACAAATGCAGCAAATGTTTTACAATATACAAATAATGAATAGGTGGTACATAAGATAATGGGTAAAATGCAAAATATATTTTAAATTTTGGGGTTCGAAAATCGATCTAATTTAACAAAAAACATTCAATATCTACTAATAGTGATGTACAATTTATTTATATATTATAATGTTTACTGCAATTAATAAACTAATATAAACTTGTCAAAAGATGACCACATATTTTTTTAAATTATTATTCTTAACACAAAAACTATCTACATTGACTGTAGAGTACGATTTCAGCCATATTGTAAAAAATTTGCTGCATTTGTATGGTTCATAGTTTTATCTGCTAAAGTATTTATTACTATAAATAGGTATATATATATATATATATATATATATATATATATATATATATATATATATATATATATATATATATATATATATATATATATATATATATATATTTGTATTTATTAACTGTATATTATGTATATTTCATGTAAGCTATATGATTTTTAAAATACAAACTAAAAATACGAGGAATAATTATGTTTTCCATGTATTCTACAACATATTTATTAATCTGTAGTATCTAACTAGCGTGACGTCATAAATCTCGCTCCGAGGCTGTTCTATTAGAGACGGCATTGCGTCAGCATGGCCGCAAGTTGCTAACCTAATAAAATTAACACTATAAAAGCCGGCGGGAACTGTCAAATTCAAAGTTATTCGTTTTACAGACTATATTAATAATTTCGATTCCACATATCTCGAGAACCATTACTCGTAACGATTTTTACCAAGAGACCTTTTTTACGTAAAGAAAAACGTCGTAAATATATATTTTTTTACTCAGTAGTTTTATACAGATACAGACAAAAAGTTATTCCTCTTCAAACTAGTTAAAAAATATGTAGGTGGTGCCCTCTACAAGTAGGAATCATATTGACATCAAATTCAAATTTCTCATGTCAAAAAAACGCACAGATACCAATTTTTATCCAAATATTAATGTTACTTCAGAAATTATTTGGAAGAAATCGAAATAAAAATGAAACTTCTACACCCTATATCTCCGAAACTAAGCATTTTAGGGCATTTTTTTAGAATTTAGAATGAGTGGGAGGGGGGTTAATCACTTCGACCTTACAGATCCATTGTGTCCCCCTTTCTTGAATCATAACTCATCATACAGTCCCAGGGCTTTGACAAAAGCCAGTATCTGGGACGGTTTTATAGAGGGTAGTTCTCCATCTCCAATATCATTTTAGGGCATACATTTATACAAACTTTTTACTTATTTTTATCTACAGATTATGCTGCCGAAGTTTGCGGAATGCAGTTCGGGCCACCCTGTATAATATATGCAATAATCTAATTTTGACCAAAAATTCGAGTTAGGAGATATTGCTCGTGCACCCGCGATATGTCTTTTAAAACCACACCAATATTTATTCTACAGGGTGGTCGAAATTGGTCTGTTTTAACAGAGAAAACCTATTTCCTGGCTAAATAGAGCAATAGCGACATAGAGGTCATGGGCTCGATTTCTGAGACATGTTTAATGGCATAAACCGCCTGTCGATATTTTCACTGCCAGCTGAGATACGGGGTCTTTTTGAATTTTCGACTATTTTAAAATTTGCCTATAACTTTTTTATTTCGCGGAAAAATAAAATTCTGTAAAAATGTTCTTAAGAGTTCATTTCACTACTCTGAAGAAGTAGCAAAATAAGCGTTCGGCATTTAACGTTTTATGTAAAATTGGCTAAATACCACAAACGAAGAAGGAAATTAAATATAAAGGCAAGGATAAAGAATTATTCTATATCCGTATTGTAGCACATTTTTAGAAAATTTCTTTATTTTTAAGATTTTGATGGTGAAACATCAATAAAATATTCCTTATCTTTGGACTAAATTTTCTCGAAAATAAAGACATAATTTAAAATTCCGTTACAATACGGAAATAGATTGAAGTTTTGTGATTACAGTGATATATAATTTATACGGTTTTGTAACAAATTGCTCGCTATTTTATGGCAAATCCTGAAGCTCTGCAAACCTCAATCAAGCATTAATCAAAACACGTATGTTTGAAATTTTGGGTGTGGCTTAATACGACAGGATTTGGCTAAGCCTTAGGCAGATTTCTGAAATATAATATATATTTCCTTCGGCCTCACACCCGCTTTACCCGACCCCTGAGAGCGACCCGAACAATACAGCATATGCTGTCCTTCATTCGCGAACTTCAAGTTCCAGAGCTTTACGACCTGGGCTACTCGAGAACGGTTCTGAAAGGAGCTGTGCGCGATAGCCTGGTGCCTTCATATGGCGCGGAACAGTCCTGAACTTTATGACTCAATTGAATGGAGTGAGAGTATCGCGTTCTTGAATAGTTCAGAGTTGCACAACTGCGTGAATGGAGGACAGCAATAATAGACTATTAAGGCACTTTTTCCCTTCCTTGTATACCAAACAGTTCGGGCTTACTACTTCCAAGGCGTTAAAAATTATAATATAGGAGCTTTTATTATTACATTATTTTTTTCTTTGCAGATACATCAACCCAACTGAAAACCTCTTCGTTTCCATGTTCGCTATTGGCGAGGGCTGGCACAACTACCACCACACCTTCCCTTGGGACTACAAGACCGCCGAATACGGCAGACTGAACTGGACTATGGCAGTTATCAATCTCTTCTCCAAAATCGGTTGGGCCTACGACTTAAAAACCGTCTCCCCTGAGATGATCGAAAAAAGGGTGAAGCGTACCGGTGACGGTAGCCACGAAATCTGGGGATGGGGTGACAAGGATCAGTCACCCGAAGACCGCAGAAACGCTGTCATTATTAACAAAAAGGATGATTAAACAAATACATCGCAAGATCTGTCTGTCCATTTTTAGTTTCTTCTTTTAAATAAATGTCTAACATTGGTAGATAAAAGATTAAACTGATAATTTTTTTGTTTTAGTTTTTTTTATGTTTATTGGTTTTTATTAACCTCGTTTCCTTCTTTATTGCTGTGTTGAACGGATGTTCGCTTAGTTCGTAATTATTTAAAACTCTTCTTTAATTTAGATTTAAAGCTTCAAGCAGTATTTTGTGTTAGTACGTGTTATATGATGTCTATATAATAAACATATTACGAAAAATAGTTTGTTTTATTATAGACCGTTGACTAAAGCTTCATTCAGAACCCCGCAATTAGTGGAATAAATTAACGGTTTCAATTAGCGTCGATTTGTTCCTTCAATTTCTATGTAAGCATTTAGAACGTCTAAATTAGTGGTAGACTTTTTCAATTAGTAAAAGAAGTTATCAAACTTTTAACTTTTCCACGAATTATACTTCAAAATTTCCGAGAAATGTCATTTTGGCCTTTGATTATCTTCCGTCAAGAGAAATTGTGGTTAGAAATCAAAAGTTGATTGTTATATAAGCTAAATATTAGGCTTTCTCTGTGGCTACAAGTATATATAAATATACTGCCATTACTTGCTGACGAGTATTCGGCACGCATCAGAAAATGGTCACGCAAGGCGTTTTCTTTCATGAGCTTTTCTGTGACTTAAAAGCCCGATACGTCATGTTATCTGCCTACCGCACTCCGGACATTCAAAAATCTCATTGCTTTGTTGTCTCTTTACTTTTTGGTTGTCGCTGTTAACTGAGTTTACAATTCTTCTCCCTTGAGTTCAATTGTGAGCTGTTTCTTCCCACTCATTCTGCATGTTAATTCCCTTTAAGTTTTCGTGAAAAATGTCCTTGTACCTTTTCAGTTGTCCACCCGGCCTCCTCTTCAAGCTCACCGTAAAGCAGAGATTTTGGTATGCGGTTTTCTTGCATTCTGCATACGTGACCAGCCCATCTTAAGCGGGATTTTGTAACCATGACTCCAGTACTCTCGCAGTTAACATTTTCAAGGACCGATACGTTTGAGACATGATGGAACCACCGGATTCTTAAGAGTTGCCTAAGATGTCTCTGTTAATATAACATGGTGGGGATTATTACTGCTGGATACACTGCAAGTTTCGTTTTTGTGCTCAAAAGTCATGATTGTAGAAAACCCTGTCTTTTAATTTCCAGAATGCTCTTGAGGCGCTGCTAATCCTGTGCTCAATTTCAGAGTCAATATTGGCCTTTTCCGATATCAAACTGCCGAGGTAGTTGAATTCCGCCACATATTCCAATAGTTCCTCTCCGATTTTTAGAGCATTGTTTTGATCTTCCGCTACATATAGGCTACGACTGACTAACGCAAGCTGTTGTTAGGATATTCTATTAATTTTAATTGTGTTTTTTAAACATTGTGAATGATTGTAAACTAAAAAGTATAAAGTGTAATTCAAAACCACGAATTTATTACGAATGAAGCTTAAATAGATTTAAGCTTTCATATAACTTATCATACCGGTACATGATCCGTCGAAGTTGTCAAAATTGGTATTTTTTGGGATAAAAATAATATGTGGAAAACCCTCTGCATGAAAAGATTAATGAAGGACCATCAACAAGCTTTTGTGGATTGCAATAGGGGACTAATATGGCTGATTTAAGTCCGGTTTATCAGTGCCGTTTTAATTTTGTTTAAAACGTGCAGAAATATACCTAATGTCAACACCTATTTGCGGTAACTTTCTGATTGGCACCCTAGCACCTTAGTGGCACCCAAAAATTAAATATACGTAAAAATTAAGTTTTGATAAAAAATAGAGTGGCATTCTGGATTTGAATATGATTGAGTTTCTTCCATAAGTACTCCATGCTAACTTAATTCTTCTGTTGATTTCTGGTAGTAGAGATCCCGAGCTGTGTACCTATTAGTTGTCCCACTATAATATTCTTCCACTATTTCCAATGTTGTGATATTTATTAGAATGTCTTTTCTTTCCACTATTAGTTTGTTGTACATTACTTTAGTTTTTGCTCATTCATTTTGAGACCCACTTTATGGCTGGCTGTATTTAGTTCATTAATTGGTGTTTGTAATTCTTCGGGACTATTGGCAATTAGGACTATGTCGTCAGCAAATCTTAGATGGTTGAGATATTCTCCATCTAGGTATTTTTAATCCTTTGTTGGCCCAGTCCAGTTGACGGAAGATTTCTTCTAGTGTTGCTGTAAACAGCAACACGTATATAGAGTCGAAAGCCTTCTCAAAGTCTATAAAGGCTCTAGCTAGAGGAAGTTCGTATTCTTTTATTCGGCTGATAGTTTCTCTTAGTGTGTGTACGTGATCAATCGTGCTGAAGCCGCTTCTAAAGCCTGCTTGTTCTCGTGGTTGTGCCGCGTCTAGCGTGTTTTTTATTCTGTTGTTTATTATTTTTGTAAATATCTAGTAAGTTACTGGTAGTAACCTTATTATTGGTCTATAGCTTCTGATGTCTTCTTTGCTGCCTTTCTTATGAATTAGAATTATGTTGGCGCTATTCCAGTCTTTTGGTATATGGTTTCTGGTTTCTCCTTAGACAGATAATAGAATAATTTCAGTAAATCATAAAATACAACAAAATCATTGACCATTTTCAAGTTTTTTTACCTAACGAAAAGTTGTAATATATCTCTCTCCAATCGTTCCTCATAGCTGAGGGTCGTGACTTCTATGAATACGTTTTTGTTTTATAAGATCTTTCCAGGCTAATCTGTCTTCAGCTCGATAGCTGAGTGTAGGGGTAGACCAGTTGTTTGTCTTACTTGATCGATCCATCTTGTTGGGGACCGACCTCTACATCTTTTTCCTTGGACATCACCAGTTATAATAATTTTTTCCATCTTGTTAGCAGGTCTTCGAGCAATGTGTCCAAAGTACTCGAAGATGCGTTTCAGACAGATTGCCGACAGTCGGGTATGCTTATGTTGAGCTCATTAATTATTGATAGATTAGTTCTTCTAGCTGTCCAAAGTATTCTCAGCATACATACGTCTGTAGCACCACATTTCAAAGTTGTCTATCATGCGCCTTTCCGATGCTTTGATGGTCCAGGATTCCACTCCATAAAGAAATATTGAGAAGGCAATTGTACTACCTAATGAAAAATCTAATATTAATTGTACTTCTTAAAATCGAAAAATTATAAATACTTAGTAGATACAAGAAGAAATCAAAGAAAAGAATGGACCAAGTCAAATGATATCTGGAACAGCCGGCACCTGTTAAAATTGGTATCACTGTGAAAAGGAACGTTGCATTTTGTCAGTGTATCAATGTATAACAATGAAAATGTATTAAGGTGGACAATGGGGCAGCTTTAAACGGGCGGTTTCTTTTGTGGTACACTCGTTGATAACAAATACGAATCGTAATTGAAACTCCTTTGCGGCCTCGCGCCGACAAAAGCAGATGAATTCGTAGACATCAACGGGTGGAAATTAATGTTTTTGTAAGAACGTAATGACATCAGCTCTTGAAGGATCGAAAACGCAAGAAAAAATCGTCTAAATCGATATTTTGGCTGGTGATTTTTAAGCGTACATTATTTTCATAAGTAATATATCGTAATATACCGGTGGCATAAGCTAAGGGCTGGAGGATTTTAAGGTATTCTTCGATATATTCGAGATAAATTTCTTTCGTTCGTCTTTCGGGCTACATAACGGAGTCGGGGATTCGCTTGAAAGACAACTACGCACTACGCACGCGTAACAAGACAAATAATCAAAACCACTTCCGAAAAACTAACGTTTTATTTGCTAGTGGTATTGTACATTGTTTTTTCTGCTGCTTGGCTGCTTTATAAAGGAATACTGCTGTTTAAAAATTAAAAATTTACCATATAAAAATCTGGCTTAAGACTTTTATAAAAAGACTTAAGCTTAAACTGGTTACTACTTTCACCGGTTTAACGCAGGAAACGCAAAGATATATACAGTATTGTCAGTGGTGATGAATCCTGGATTCATTCTTATAGACCGAAAAATAAACGTCAATCGGCTGTTTGGCCAAACCAAAGCCTACGAAATTTATCCGTTCTTGAAGTGTTTCCAAAAACATCGTGGCGACATTCGTCTCAAAACCGGATCTTGTAGCAACAATTCTTCCTGCAAGATCAAAGAACGGTTACTGCTGATTGGAACATATCTATTTGTTTGCCAGAAGTAATTTTGAGAGATTCGCAAAACCATCCCTCAACGACGAATGGTCGTCTACTAAAGCCGCGTACACATCAGAGCAAACGAACAGAATGAGCACTTTGAGCCGAATGAGCATTCAAATGTAGACGGACGCACGCACTGCGCCGAACACGCTCATGTGGTGCGCCAGCCGATCCGAGAGTTGTCGGTCCATCAAAGGAAATTCGTGCTCAGTCTGGACGGGTTTTTAGTAGCGTATAAACACCCACCGAACGGCCCCGTACGACATGGATTTTTCGCAAGATAGGTGTTTACAATTAATCAAAGAATTTGAGAAAATGCCTATTTTATGGAAAGGTAAAGATGGGCTGTATTTCAATAAAATTAAAAAAGAAGATGCTTGGAGGAAAATTGCTGAAAAACTGAACAGGGACGTCGCGTCATTAAGACAATGCAAGTTCCCACACAGCTTGAAAAACAGTTGAGTTGTTAAAGCAAGAAACATCGAATTGTTGGACCATCCTTCGTGCAATCCCACTAGTCCTAAGTAACAACTTTTTTACTTTTCCAAAAATAGTAAGAATCAATTGCGTGGTTATAAGTTCCAGTCCACAGAAGATGCAGTCAACGCCTTGAAGAACGCAATTTTGACGCGCGGTACTAACAAGCAAGTGGAATACCTGCTTTATCAGAATTGGTTCCTACGGATGCAAAAATACATTTCTCTTTGTGAAAAATACTTCGAAAAAATCTCTGCATACAAAATATAAAAGACAATCCTCATACTGCACCTTCAAACAACTCTGGTGAGACGCCCGAGCTCTCAATTTTATTATCGTTGTTCGAAGCTAGTTCAAGTCGCTAGACAGGTGTGTAACGTGCTACCTGATT